GACAATTCCATCATCGTTGAGGCAAATCATGAAGAACGCGAAGACTCACACGGCTACATCTCCAGAAAATTCACACGTCGCTACGAATTGCCGGAAGAATTCAAAGCCAAGGACGTCGTTTCTTCGATCTCATCTGATGGCATTCTCTCGATCAAATGTCCGAAATCCGAACCAGCTATCGAAGGAAACGTGCGACACGTTCAAATCCAACAAACCGGACCGGCTCGTTTGAATGTCGCCAACAAGGAAGAGAAGAAGTCTGTTAAGGATCTACCGAAATCAAAATAAATATCATTCCTTTCGTAAACCTAAATTCATCATCATTAAATCTAGGGGCGAGACACGAATTCTATTAGTGTCTAGTTACAATCAATTTTATATATATTTTTCCTATCATCGTTTAATAATGTTCTAATTTTACTCATTTAGGTTTCGTGTCTCTCCCTTAGCATTAAATATATCTATTGACTAAGTTTCAACATTTTCAAACAATATCATTTGGCTTCTAAGTTATGATGAGTAGTAAACAAAATTAAATAAGTTTTATTACGCTCAAAGTTTTGTGGAACAAACTCAAAAAGCAATAAAGCCAACTACTTTTATTTGATGAAAACATAAAAAAAACGTCTTTTATTTCAAAAAATGGTCGGTTGCTTGGAATTTAAATTGTTGTTGTCTGAACTTTATCGGGTTTAGTTATAATATTAAACGGTCGATTTTTTTTTGTTGAAATGACAAACAAAGTACAGATAAACCTTAGCACTAGCAATCTGTGCCATTTTTCATCAGGCGTCTCCACTCGCATTGAGTTTGTATTGTGAATGTTAAGGTGCGTGCAACGCCCTTCAATGTAAAAAACAATACAAGTGGAGATGATACACGAGATTTATCTGTACTTTAGGAATGCAAATTTGAAGAGGTAAGAGAATTTCATAATAAGCCTGTAAAAGAATAGCAAACAAAACATCAGCTGTTCTAACGCATACAAAACAATATAAATTTATGTGGAATGAAATACATGTCAAGCTGTCACTTTCTCACGTAAATACATTGACGTTTCACGCAAACACGTTGTTGGCATGAGATCATCATCATGTTTATGACAGTTGCAATAGCTGGTCGAGAATAAGTGTATGTAAACAAATAGTTGTTCTTTATTTTCAACAAATTATTATTTTGTTTTTTCCACAGAATTCCAACATGGATAATCTGCCGATTACGAAAAGGATGCGAACTAATCCTCCGATTGTGGAGCAAACAGCTGAAATCTTTACCCTAAATATCGATTGCCTGGAAAACATCTTCGATTATCTTGAATTGCAAGACGTGTGTACAATTGGCATGACATGCAAACGCATGCAACAAGTGGCCGGCAAATACTTTCAACAGTTTTACCCGATGCATCGAGTTATGATTGGTCGAGATGAGCAGGGCGATATAGTGGAGAGCATGGCTAAAGAAACGAGTAGCTACCATCTCAATAACTCCAGTCGTGCTGAGCGGCATGTACAAGGTCATTATGATGAGAGTATACCAGGTGAACAAGATAGCTATCCCACAAACTTTGGCCGTTTTGCTGAGGATTTGGAAGTGTTTGGCAGTGATATTGAAGTGCTACGTTATGCGGTGGAAAATATGGACAAAAGCTTGAAATCGATCTCACTACGCGACTTCACGGAATACTCGCCAATTCACGACGAATACGTAGCAAAACTGGTACAAAACGTTGAGTGTCTCACATTTGCTGGTGCTTGTGATTGCAATAATTACAAAGAGGAAGAAATTGAAACGAAATATGGAGACGATAGGATTTGCTACGACGATATCTTGAAACATTGCAACAAATTGAAATGCCTACAGTTTTCGTGCGATTGGAATTTCAACATACGGGGAAAGTATCCACAAATAGAGCATTTGATCATAAAGCATCCATTCGAAGACGAGTATATTGTGAATGACTTTGATATGAGTAAATTAAAGACATTCCTCGAACAAAACTTGCATATAAAAAAGCTGAGCATAATTGCTGAGCAGCCTGCAGCGGTATTTCTGTTGGATTTGTTAAGACATATTGACCTCAAACTGGATGAGTTGAGCGCGGTTTACGACCGTGTTGGCGATGCAAATGGGTATGATACATATACAGAGAGTGAGTTTTTTCACGAAATGTTGAACAATTTGTACGAACAAGACAAATACAAGGAATTGGAATTGAATGTTAGTGACCGTGCTTTTTTTGAGCTCAATATCAGCATTCAAAATGTATTGGAGATAACTAAAATTGAAATTTTCTTCAATGAAAAAGATGAAGCACTTGATTTTATGAAATCTAACATCGATGACTACGGAGATGCAGCTGGATGGGCTTTATCCGATGAAGATCTTTTCAAGAGGAGAGCGAATTATATTAAAATTCCATCCAGCTTGAAGTATTTACGTTTGAAAGGTTCTATTTGTGCCATCGATGCAGCAACTTTATCCGAAGGAGAGAATGCACTCGAGTATTTGCGTCTCGATGGAGAGATTGAAAGCGGTGTGCTTGATATATTTGCGTCTCATTCACCAACATTGAAAGAAATAATTTACAAGAACGATCGTTTCGATGTCAACGAATTGAAATTGGCGACCATCAATAAGAATAGAGGAAATTTACAAAATGCACAGAAACTCAAGATTTATTTACCGGAAAAACACTTTTTGCAACTGAAATGGAGCACAATCGAACTGGAATATAAATTCGTTGAAGTAAAGCGTTTGAACGAGTGGTGTATGAAAAGTCCGATCATTGATATCATGCGGCGCCACGGAGGAGAACACATACGCTATTCTAGATACTTTTACTAGTTTTTAC